TTGACAGTTCCTGGAGAATGGTGTTTCGCAAAACCAGGTAAGTCACTTGTACCACCTGTTAGTTGGAAGGATTGGTCGCAGTTCTACAGTTTTGCATCTGCCTAATTATGCATTCCATAGGAGTTTGGAGGAAACACATTTAAGTGGAATGCGCACCGTATTTTGCCTTAAAGTGTCTTTGACCATTTATCTTCTTGTGCTTGTTTTCAAAGGTACTTCAATACGTTGGCTGATTGTCTAGCCTTCGATTCTATCAACGGATCAAGAGAGACTCACCGCTGTACACAATGCCAATGGAATTGGTCTCCAGGCCATGCTAGTGGTGCCAATCATGAGAGTTGTGGAGTGCTACGCTTAAAACTCAGGAACCAAACAACGTAACTTTTGGCACTACTCTTTGACCTCACGTTGTGATTTAACCAAACTGTGTACTTTTGTGAGCGTGATTGAACCCCAACCAAGTGGAGTATGTTTTGCTTTTGCGTTATGATTAGTTGTCATTCATAATCTTAATTTTGGCTTCGACGATTGCAGACAGGCCACTGGCCTGACACAGCACAACAAGAAATTAATGGAATAATGGAAACTGCCATGCACAGCAAATGAGTAAATTAGACTAGGCATTCCATTTGAACATGGGTAGAGAGAGAAAGAGAGAAAAATAAAGATCAGACGTATCGCCCACTAGAGAGTGGGATATAAGTGGATTGTAGCTAAACGACCCATAAGAAAGTTGACCTCTAGATCACCCTCCACCTAATGCGCGTATTTAGAATAGTTTGATGCATCGAGTAGCGAGAAAAGCTTAAAGCCAAATGTCTCTTTTTCGCTGCTCTTACATGGACTGGAAGAGGGTAGTGAGAATCGTGAACTTGTTGGATACAAGTTTATGATTCAACTTTTGACGATAGAAGTGGAGGTTGTGGCGAAGAAACCAGTCACTTAACTTAAAAAGGTAGAGCTAGGTAATCAGATTACTGCCAAGTGTAATTAGATCAGGAGGCAGAGTTTGGTAATTCTCAACTCTGAACCCGATCCCAACTCTCCAAGTGGTGCAAAGTCAATCCTCAGCCACCAATTTGCAACCACAATGAGTGGTGAAACCACGACCATAAAATATTCCTCAATGTCTTTTACCAAGACCCCAAGTATTCTTGGACAGACAAAGTAGAAATGTGTGAAAACAGCACTTCCTCTTCGTTATGTTGAATGCAAGTCCGAGACTGAAGCAAGCGCTACTGTGAGGGTCTATGGGTTGTCTAAATCCACTTTCGAGAATCTACCAACTTGTATTTAGTAGATTTCACCGATCATGAGGTTCTCGAGGCTAATGAAGTGGGATTTGAAAACGAGAAGTGACAGATGTTGCCACCACTGAGACAACTTGATACACCGTTTACTCTATCAGTGATCAAAAGGGAGGCAAGTGATTGTGATTAATGAATGGGTCAAGCCGATTTTCATATAATATCAAAGTTTACCAGTAAAAGTAGGATTTTAGAGTAGCTGTGAAGGGCAAAAGAACTGACCTGAACACGGTGGCCAGTTCGATGGCTCGAGCATTGGATACAGGCGGACCAAAAGTGAGTTGAGTGCTAGTGGACCTCGGCTTGACGTAGGCAATGTTGCTTATTAATTCGGCCGCCTCCTCACTCGTCGCTGACTCAATCACGATGTTGTCATTGTTGAGGAGGACGTTCACATCGTCCGTAATGAGCTGTAGGAGAACAGGAAAGATGGTAGCCTTGATAATTAGTATGCAGTCGATCATCAGCCTCCTTCCAGAGGCTTCAACACTGGTGAAATCATAATTCGAGTTGTTTCAGTTTTATCCCTTATAATTACACTGGCATTCAATAACGGGTAAAAGTCACTTCCACTTCAAATTATGTAGAATGACAGGTGTATGATGAGGAAACTGAGTGTGTTTAATTTAGAAAAAAGCATAAAAGAACTCTGTGAAAAAAATGGCAATTAACAATACGATCGAAATACGTTTTCTGTTTGTTTAAGTAATGTTTTCACTAAAGAACAAAACATAGACCCCTCCAATGTGCCTTCAGTTAAGGGTTTGGCCTTCCAGCCTCAACCGTTAGGGTGTATCGGTAACAAACATTCTTCTTCCTCCACAAGGAAGCCTTGGTTGATGAATTTTGGCATTACAAGGAAAGGTATACACTGCGATTGTGGAGATCAGTAAGGAAACCTGACAGAAAAGACGGTTGCCTTCGGAATCCAGTATTTTTGGGATTTACAAGAAAGCGACAAATAGCTGGGGAGGAGGCAGCAGCTGTGGCGCCAAGCCAATTGGGAAATGCTAATACTGAAGCGGTTGTTCTATCTGCATTAAGGTGCCACTCTCCACATTCATATGGTTTGGATAGAATGCAAAGGTGAATGCGATTGTCTGATGGATAGAACATTCTCCCTTCCTCAAATACGGGTCTCAGCCAAGATGATGCTCCGGATTCTGTTGATTTGCCAAGACGGTTTAAAGGTGCTGCATCCAAACATCCTTTCAAATGCATGATGATTCGATGATCGGCAAGGA